AGGGAAATGTTTTTGATAATCTCTCCAACCAATAAGAGGGACATAGAAGAAAGAGTAATTCCTTTTATCACTGAGAATGGCAGGAAGTGAATATGGGCATCTCTTCTGGTGACAGGGATTAGAGTAGAGTTCATGAGCCATGCATCCTGTTTTATCATTTGAACTCTTATAAAATTGTAAAATGGCAAATACACATGGATAGCTTTTGATAGCTAATTTCGCCCTGAAGGACGATTTGGAGCATTATGTCTTGAGAAAGCATGCTTGTAAATTAACTTATGAATGAGATTTTGGAATATAACTTTGCTGTGAACTAAATTGTGTTTCCTCAATATTCATATGTTGAAGCCCAAACTCCTAATGTGATTGTATTTGATAGGGGTTTTAGGAATTAATTAAGGTTAAATGGGGTCTTAAGGTTGGTGTCCTAATCCAATAGGACAGGTAGCCTTATAAGGAGAAGAATCCAAGTATGAGAAAAGGACATGTGAGGACATAGCAGAAAGATAGCCATCCGCAAGCCAAGAAGAGAGTCCTCACCAGAAACTTAATAGGCTGGCTCCTCGATCTTGGACTTTCCAGCTTTCAGCACTGTGAGAAACAAATTCTTGTTCTTTAAGCCACCCAGCCATTGGTATTTTGTTATGGCAACCTGAGCTGAATAAAACAAACCTGTTCATAAATTTTGAATTAAGTACGATTACTCATTTATGAATAGATTATATCCACAAAATTTGACCTAATTACTATTATTATTACTATTTAGTTATAAACTAAATATATGTCGAACATAGATTGAAGTGTTATTTATATAAATATTATTTATGTTTAAATACAAGTAAATGAGTGGGTGATAACTCCCATAGATTCCTAAAGAAAACCTGTTTAGAGATAAGCCTAACTTGGAGTATAGATCAAAACCTGAAGCATCCATTCCGCACCTATGTGCCCAACACTCTTTCCAATCAAAAACCATATCTTCTTATAAAAAACAACCCCCATACTGCAACTCATGATGGGTACTCAATGAATGTGGACTGAATCGAAGCAAAACTATCTTGATTAGAAGTTTATACACCAAAATTAATGACACAGACGTGAAGTATTATCTCTACAAGAATACTTTCAGGCAGATAGAAAGGTATGAATAGGCAGGTAGAGGTCGCACGAAGGTATTTGTGGCTACCTAATGTCCCTTATTATTATGGTTAAAGAAACATTGTTCTCAGGTGCTGGAATATTTTTCTAGTCAAATGTAGTATTTATAATCTTGGAATGAAATATGCTACTACTTTAAGAAATAAAGAAACAAAACTAACAATGTATTCCAAAGTCAAGTAAAAAGATGTTAGGAATTATATGTGTTTTTCTTAAATACATTTTTAAAATCGAAACATAATTGATTAAACATATTCATGGAGTGCAGAGTAGACTAACAGTATTTGTGTACAGTATGTGATGATCAATAAGTATTATTAGCATGTTCATCATTACAAATTGTAATTTTTTTGTGTGTCCCTTACCCAGTGACTCCCTAACCCCCCTCACCCTCCCCCTTTCCCACCTCTGGTAACCACAGGTCTGTTCTCTCCTTCTGAAAGTTCAACGTCTTACTGTGATCCTTCTTTCTTTCTTTCCTTCCTTTTTTTTTCTTTCTTCCTTCCCTCCCTTCCTTCTTTCCTTTCATTCTTTCTCTTTCTCTCTTTCTTTCCTTCCTTCCTTCCTTCTTTTTCTTTCTTCCCACTTATTAGTGAGGACAAGTGGTATTTCTCTTTCTGTGCCTAGCTTATTTCACTTATAATTTTCTCCAAGCGCATCCATATTTCTGTGAATGGCAGAATTTCATTCTTTTTTATGGCTGAGTAGTATTCTACTGTGTATATATAACACATTCTTCTTATCCAATCATCTGTTGATGGACATTTAGGTTGGTTCCATACCTTGGCTATTGTAAATAGAGCTGTGATGAACATGGGAGTGCAGGTATCCCTTCGACATGATGAATTCCATTCCTCTGGGTATATACCCAGTAGTGGGATTGCTGGATCATATGGAAGACCTATCTGTAGTTGTTTAAGAAAACTCCATACAGTTTCCATAGTGGCTGCACTAATTTACAGTCCTATCAACAGTGTAGGAGGGTTCTTCTTTTTCCACATCTTTGCCAGCATTTGTAGTTCTCTTTTTTTTATAATAGCCAGTCTAACTGGGGTGAGATATCTCAGTGTGGTTTTGATTTGTATTTCCCTGATGCTGAGTGATGTTGAGCATTTTTTCACGGGTCTGTTGACCATTTATATATCTTCCTTTGAAAAATGTCTATTCATTTCCTTTGTCCATTTTTTAAATTGGATTATTTGATTTTTTACTGTTGTTTGGGTTCCTTGTATATTCTGGATATTAATCCCTTGTTGGATATGTAGTTTGTAAATATTTTCTCCCATTCTGTAGGTTGCTTTTTACTGTGTTGACTGTTTCCTTTGCTGAGCAGAAGAAGCTTTTTATAAACCTATTTATAAATAATAAATCCTATTTGTCTTATATTTTCTTTTGTTTCTTGAGCTTTGGGGGTCTTATTCATAAAGTCTGTGCCCAGTCCTACAATCTGAAATGTTTCCCCTATGTTTTCTTCTAAGAGTTTTGTAATTTCAGGTCTTATATTTAAGCCTCTAATCCATTTTGAGTTTATTTGGGTATGGGATAAGTGGTATGGGTCTAGTTACATTCAAATGGACACCAGACCCTAATCACTTGCCCTCTAAATGGAAAGTTTTGTTTTTTACTGCACAATATAATTCAGTAGTTATTAAGTTTCATGTGGATATACCAAGGTGAAAAATAAAAACCATTATTTACCTTGTATTGTATAGTTTTTAATGAGTTATCACACCAACTCAAAAACCACATAGAGGTAACATATAGGTAATATATATACATATATATGTGTGTGTGTGTGTGTGTGGTTTTTGAGTAACCCAATAAGTCTTTTGGGATTTATTGATTTATTTTATCTTTGCTTGCCTTCCCAATGACTTAGAATCTGATTAATGCAGGCTTTCCTATGGCATTTTAGCTCTGTATTGGTGTGACAATTGGTTAAAAACTATGCAACACAAGGTAAAAAATGGTTTTTATTTTTCAATTTGGTATATCCATGTGAAGCTCAAATAACTCTACTTATATTGGTTCAGTAAAAAACAAAACTTTCCATTTAGAGGGCAAGTGACTAGATTCCAGTGTCCATTTGAATGATTCTTTCATTATTTAGCTAATAGTGTTGACTATGATGGTGTTGACTATGACAAGGGCTGAATGTTTTTAGAAAGCATGCGTTTCTTTAGTAGTATGGTAGAAAGGCATATGCTGGCAAGGTCAGAGGTCTTTGTGAGGGTACTAGGATCGGTGGAGTAGCCTCTCTAAGACACAGTGTGCTCAATCAATAAACACTTCTTAGACCTCCGCGATGTGCCAGGCAGTACAAAATGAGTTTAACAGTAGCCGAGATAGTAGTACTCATCTTTGATCATCACTTACTCATTTAATCCTCACCAAAATTACATGCAGATAGTACTTTAAAAAGTTGGCTTTTTATAGGTAAGGGAATCAAGGCACTGAGATGTTAACAAATTGCCCAATATTACAAGGCACTGAGATGTTAACAAATTGCCCAATATTACTCAGGATTTAATGATGAAGCCACAATTTCTCCCCAACAGTTTGATTCCAGAAACTTCTCTCTTTACTATTGTTCTGTTGCTTAAAGGATCTTAATTTTCTATTTATTTATGTATTTATTTATTTATTGTTCTTATTTGTTATTTATGTGTTTATTGTTCATGACAGCATTTAAATTGATAAGAACCTTATGAGAAAAGACATGTGGAAATATTTAGTACATTGTGAATGTGTGTTATTATTTATTGTATTTGTTCCATGGATTATGCCTCTTGAATTTAATTCTCATTTTTTTATTTTTAAAAAAGTCTATTTTTAAATGTAGGATTCCCTATTTTGACCTATTTGGGAAGTCTTGGTATTCAGAGTTATAATGTTTTATTCCACTTCCTAGTGCTTCAAGTACTTTGTGTCCTAAAATTAGAGACTTCTACCATCTGCTACTGTCATTTTTAATATTATGAAATAGTCTATACATAAAATTATTATGATCATTAGAAATCTGCTACTGTTGCGCTTTTCATATTCTTATTATATATGTTATCTTATTGCATGCATGAAAAAGAGGATTTTATGAAGGGAAATCGGAATATGGGTGCATGCTTTATTTTGCTAATAATGTACTCTAATGTAGAAGTAACCATGTATTTTACTGGTCTATCCAATTTTAATAATACCTGTTTGCACTTCCTCTTAAGCTTCTACTTTGAAAATCAAATGGCTCCTTGCTATTTACTCTTGTTAATGTTTTAATGTGAGGACCACACACCCCTCGCACTTAGCAGGGGAACCTGAGCTGTGGTCATACTTCCAACACACTGCTGTTGCTACCTGCCTAATAATTCTCTTTGGCTCCCTGTAAACCTGCAGTCAGGAAAGTATTTGAATTTCCCCCCTCTAGCACTTGCAAATCCGATTTTTATGTATAACTAAGTGCTCTTAGTTTTTACTCTATCTACTACTGGGGCCTGGTTTCTAGCAGGCCTGTAACTAAGCCAGATCCGGCCTATGTAATTCTGTTTGTAATGAGAAATCTAAACAGGGAATAGCAGTGAGGCATGGCAGGAATGTGTTTCCATTGGAGAAGTCAGTGTGGGGAAAAAATAAGCAAAGCCATGTCCAGAAGGCCTTTTCAGCTGGCCAAGACGGAAGACTAATGTTATTGTGCACAGGCTATTACCCTGCCAGCCCTTCCTCACAGATTTGCTTTCTCTCTCTGTTCCCCTCCCCCCAATTCCCCTCCCCCTGCCTCCCTCTTTCATCTTTCCCTTCTCTTTCGCTTTCTTCTTCTCTCATTCTTCGGGCTCTGCTGACTGTTTGCTCAGGTGGACAGTGACACCATTTGGAATGAGCTGCACTCGTCCGGTGCTGCACGCATGGCTGTTGGCTGTGTCATCGAGCTGGCTTCCAAAGTGGCCTCAGGAGAGCTGAAGGTGAGGTCTGGGTTGCATTAAGTGTGGGAAATCCAGAGAAGAAGCTGAAACAGGGATGTTGTTTGTGAATCGTGGGGAGTGTGGCATGGTAATAAAAGGAAAGAGGCAGAGGGAGGAAGCCAGGGAGAGGGCCACTAAGGTGTGATAATAACTCGTCTGTAGGTAGATAGTGGCTCATCCAGCTTGCAGGGCCTTCCTCTCCTCGAGAAAACTCTGTGGTCAGACCACTCGGGTGTATTTTTAAGAGCATAGGAATGGTGAGTAAAGCTATGGTCCAGGTTAAAAATACCCTTAGTATATACATATCTGTCATGCCATCCTGGGATTCTCTTTTGAAGTGATTTTAAAAATATGATTACCAAGGAGTTACATATAAGCTCAGAATACCACCCAGAGAGAGGGACAGGGTTGGGGGAGAAAGGTAAATACCAGACGGGAAGGATTGGGAGGAAGGAGGAAATTGTTGATTAGGAGGGTAATGATCCAGAGTATGTTTTTCCATGAAAGAACTTCAAAAATGAGCCATGCTTTATTGTTCTTTTCTTTTTATGGTCTCTTCTTTTCTTCATCATATGAAAAGAACAATGTCCAAACCCCAACGTTTCCCAGTCTAAACAATTTATAAAAGCCGGAGACCTGACAGACGTTGACATTTTATTTGGTATTTTAACAGTGCTATTTAAAGGTATGCCATGTGCGTCTTGAATGCAGTTACCCCAATAAACTTTGTTGGTGCTCACACGGCTTTTTAATGCACTAGTTCACACACTTCATAATGCAATCTGGTTGGTGATTGATTTGATATTTTTAGCAATAGTGGGGCTTAAGGGAAATATATTATGACCAACAACATATGCACTGTGAGTTTGGTTAATCTAAGATAAAATCTAATTAGGATTATTTTTCTTTATGTCTAATGGATTTTTATTCAATTACACCAGACCGTTCCACTTGTGATTAAAAATATAGGGTAGGAATGTGCACTTAACAATGCATTGTCTGTCCCAGAAGTCTTTGATCTGTCTAAGAAGTCAGGCCTACAGAAATATAAGGGTACTTCAAGAAGTTCATGGAAAGATTTGTATTATCTTTCAATTCTATTTTTCACAAACTTTTTGGAGTACCCTCATATAATCTTGGTAAGGTGAACTGTATTTAAAAACTAGATGTGCCTATGTGCATTTCACATGATCAGTATCAGAATATTAATTGCTCATCTCCAGGGACTTAGGGGCCATCAATACGGTGCTTACTATTCAGTCTTATAAGGTGAACTGTATTTAAAAACTAGATGTGCCTATGTGCATTTCACATGATCAGTATCAGGATATTAATTGCTCATCTCCAGGGACTTAGGGGCCATCAATACGGTGCTTACTATTCAGTCTTTACATTTGCTAATGATCACCTAAAAAGTGGAAAGGAATCAGCCTATGGAGAGGTTTTGGCTATCTCCTAGTAGAAATTTAGAAATAATTCTTCCTGTTTGAATGATGTCACTTGTAGTACTGCAATAAACTGACATTTTAAAAGAAGAATATTAAAGGGTCTTATTTTCAAAAGAATTCAAATGGCAGACAACAGCCAGGCCACAATACTATAATTTTCAAAATTATGCTGGTACAACCCTACTTGTTAACAAAGATAATTATTATGTTACCATTCACATTTCTAATTGTTTTATGTTTTTGGAAGTTTAAGCAATAATTCAGAAACCTTCCCAAGTAGAATGCCCACATGTTACTTACACTCATCAAAATCATCATTAAGAATTGCCAAATGTATGCACGAAGAAAGTTGAACAAAAACCTAATTATATTTTTAGGAGGTACCCATTTAAAATAGCCAGTTACAAACAAAGCATCAACAACGTATAGTATGGACATACTGACCACCAGCTGTACTAACATTCACTATTTATATGAAGAGCAAGGATTTGTGCAAATGCCTTTTCTCCTCCTGGTTAAGGAATCAGCAAGCATGGTTTAATAAGAAAAGAAAAGAAAAAGAATAAAGAAAACGAGCCAGCCTAAGCATCAAGAAATCTTGGTCCAAGCTGTACCACCTAAATTTTGTGTCATTTGTGGCAAATCACTTAATTTTTCTGGGCCTCAGTTTCCTGTTCTGCACAATTATCAAGGTGGAACTAATGTTGAAGGTCATTCATGGCACTGACATTTTGAGCTAATTACAAATGAAAAATGGGTCTGATTCTCAATTAGACACACTATGGCATACCAAAGAGTAGCTATTCCTACACTAATTTCAGCTTGCTTTGGTGAGCATTCCAGATTTTTGCAGCTGGGTTATCTTTCTGGTTAGTAAGTCCAAAGAAAAGTCCAAAACAGTGATGATCATAACAGATGCACTGTTGACAGGTCAAGGAGACTAAACCCTTGGTTGCTAATAATTTGGGTAGACCTACGGGGTGCCCTAGAGGAAAGGTAAAAATCACAAGCAATTTGGAGCTACAGTGAAGAATGCACACATAAATGAAGTACAGAGCCATGTTTAGGAACCCCTGGTCAACCAAAATAATTACTAAGTGTCTACTTATCCTAGACTCAAGTATGACAAGCCTGCTGGCCAGGAGCATAATACTCAGGGCTAGGGAGGAATAGCGAATCGTATTCAAATCTGGGAAGGAAATAGGGAAGCTTATTCAAGGACACAGGTAAGTAATCCTCTGATAAGACATGTAAAAAGAAAAACTGGAGCATTTTGCTTTTCATTTTCTGCATCTACATTCAATTCTTAAATGTTCTACATAATTCTTCTGATAAATCAATACCTTAATAAAATAACATTGGCATGTTATAATACTGCATTTTATGAGACTGCACTAATGTTGATTGGAAAATAGAAAAATTTAAGAGCTTTATTTCAAATAGGGTGGGCCTGGATGTAGTGCTGAACTGAGATGGGAGATAGCTGGAGGGAGGACACTGAACTCCCAGAGGATGGGGACATAGGAGAGAAGTAATGTCCACAGAAAAGGAAAATGCCAAGGACAAAATTTTATTACCTGGAACTTTTGCTTGATGCCAAATTTGACCATAACCACCCTCCTAACTTTTGACAGGTTCTGTCCTTTCTTCACCTGGGGGTACTGATGAGCTGAAGGAATTAGAAGAATGAAGCGGGCACAGGGGGTGGTTTTAATGTTGATGCTTAAATGGAACATGCGCAGCAGATGATAGCAGTAAATTGGCATATTTTTGACACATATTTTTGAGTGGACATGCTCAGTGGAGTTCAGTGGAACTTATGGGGATTTTCATGCTTTCCAGGTTTTCAACAAGATATTTAAAAAAATACACACAGGTAGAAGTGTTTTGAATCTACAGATGCTGAAATCGGCTATTTCTAAGATTCTGGTACTAAGGAGCACACATTTTCTGAAAATGATGAAATGTTTGGTGTATTGGAAGTTAAAATTGGAAGAATAATTATCTCAAAATGGTTTTCTTGTTTTATAGAATATTTTAGAGTGTGTGTCTAGGACCTAGGAATATCTCTAAAAGGTGGACTTTTTTTGACTTATCTATAACATAGGGCTCAATACTTATCAAGATTAACTATAAAAAAGATTAACCTTGATGCTGTTTTGACAATGTTACATTGCCTTCATAAAAAAGTTAAAATTATTTTACCTGTCTGGACATTTCTGTCAAAAACAAGTCCCCCCCAAAATATCAGACACCCAGTTATCTGAATGATGGATGGATTTATTAATGTTTTTGGACATTTCTGTCAAAAAAAAAAAGTCCCCCCCAAAATATCAGACACCCAGTTATCTGAATGATGGATGGATTTATTAATGTTTGATATTAATTGTGATGTGATGTTGCTAATAATACCTGCTATTTATAGAGTATCTACTGTAGGCTGGACAGTTTATACGTAGTCTGCTGTTATTCTTACCATGTCCCCTTGAACTCAGTAGCACCAATAGGTCACTGACTCAAAGACATCGAGTAACCTTCAAGATCCTGCACACAGGTTGTTAAATAACAAAGTCTGTAAATCTCATAATCCATTGTTCTCTTTCATAAATCATTGTAAATTTCATTATCCAAGAGACTCTATCAGGACTCTGTTACCCTTGTAGCATACATATATGTAAGAAAAAAAAAAGAGTTAAATCCATCTATCTTGAATTGTCTATATCCTCTCTTTTTACTTATAAAATACTTCATACATACAAGAAGGTAAAAGTTGCATTCTTAACTTATGAAGTATAGTGATCAAATAAATACTCGTGAGCCCCTCATCCAACTGAATAGAAATTTGCTCACACTCATGAAATTCTCTCAGTACTATAGTCATTAATCTTTTGTATTTTAAAAATTATTTCCTCCCTATTCTTTAATATTTTTAAACATATTTTTGACCCTTATGAAAATGGAATCTTATTGAATGTATCCCTCAGTTTTCTTTCCCCCCCTTAAAATTATGGTATGAGGATGTATCCATGTGAATGTATGCATCTCTGACTGATTCATTTTCATTGCTATGAACTATTCCTTTTGCACCGTAATTTGTTTGCTTATTCTTCCATTGGACATTTTAATTGTTTCCAAGTTTTTGCTCTTTCACTATGGCATAATTAAGAGTAAAAGAGCCAACTCCTAGGCTAGCTACATAATAAAGTTCAGTAGGTAATGCCAAGTGGAGTTCTAAAGTCATTTGGCCACAATGACACCAGCAAAAATGTCACTTTAGACCTCTGAAAAATCTTTTCTCTATTAAAGTAATGACAAAACTGGCAAAATATGTCAGGATAAAAATTTTTTTAAAACTCTGGAAATTAACTAAAGGCTGTCAACTGCTCAGGAAGCATGTTTCAAAAAACAAACCTGCTGACATACTGGCCAATTACCAAAAAACCAACCAACCAACCAAACAAAAAAAACAGCTGAATCTTGGTTAAGAACAAATTGAGCTTTGTCATTTTTTAACTTGCTTTGTTCCAATCTTCCCCTTTCTAGCTCCATGGT